GGCACAGTTTCCAGCCGAAACTAGCAAATTTGTCCTTCACCTCCTTCTGTAAGTCAAGTGACATGTGACATGGAGGTCGATATTTACGGAGACTGAATCAGCAAATTAAACACAGGGGAAAGTGATGGAAACTACTCTGAAATTCGGTACAAGAAGACAAAGAAATAGGTCAAAGTCACTTACTGAGGTCAAAGATCTGGTCTCCTGGCGTAATAAGGTCAGTTAAAAGGCACTTGGGAAGATGAGAGCACTTGTTAATTCACAGATTCATGTGGGAAATTATGACAATCGAGAGCATCACTACCCTACCACTGGTACAGCATTTTAGCAGCCAAATAACAAAAAGAGGAAAATAAAACATGATGTCAGAAAAAATATAAATAAATTTAATATAAAAATAAAAATAATATAAATATTAAATAAATAAATAAATAAATTCACAGCGGGATACCTTTTTTTTTTTTTTTTCCCAGAAAGACTTAAAAGTTTGGGAAACACTGAGTGGGCGATAGGATTCCAAGTAGTAACACAGCAGAGGCTAGAAAGGCATCTCAGCTAGTTAGTAGAGTTAAGATGAATTAAAGTGATGCACACACGATCTTGAACAATGTGGGGGTTGGGGTACCGGGCTGTGCAGTCAAAGTTCCCCCTTACCACTTTTAACCCTCACTCCCCCAAAACTTAACTACTAGGCTGCTGAGGAGCAGAAGCCTTACTGAAAACGTTAACAGTTGAACACATATTCTCTGCAGGAACAGAATATTCCACGTAATATTCACAGTATCCTTCCAATAAAGGCAGCCAGAGAAAAGAAAATGTTATTAAGAAAGTCACTGGGAGGAGAAAATGCATTTACAGGACTGTATCGTATTTATCGAAAAAAAGGCGCACGTCCGTGGACCTGCGCAGGTCAAACCTGGGAGTTCCAGAGGCGGATTTAGGAAAGGCTGACCCGCCCTCCTCTCCACTACCCCCTTCCCCCAGCCAGTGAATGAGATTTCGGGGAGGGGCTGTCAAAACAGGGAGAAGGGAAGGCCCTGACCCTCTCAGCTTTCAGGAGTGAGGAGAGCAGCAGGCACAGAGGCATTTAATTCTGAAGCAGCAAAGATCTCAGCAAAGGTTGCAGGGAGCGGGCAGCGCTCTTCGGGATAACGATGCCAGAAGGAGAAAAGCATAAAGAGGAAACTCTTGTGGGGAAGTAAATGGTACTTGGAAGGTAAGCATCATGTGATCCCGTTAGTGCGGCTCTGGGCTACAGTCTGGGGAGCTCAGTGCCAGGATGAGGAGAAGGTCAGGAGAGGAAGAGGTGGGCTTTCGTGCAGAGGGGCTAAGTTGAGACTGGCATGCTGCTGGAAGCTTCTGCAGGGGGCAGCCCCACCCCAGTCTACGTTAGCACCAGGGTACTCAGTGGGTGTATCTCTCGCCAGGGGCACCCCCAGGGGATGCCTGGGGGTACCCAGGACTAAAGCACAGTGCAACTCCCTCTCCTCTTCAGGTTATTAAGGGACTGGAGCCCTGAGGAGAAGGACAGGTGGACGCAGGAGTCAACCAGCCTCAGAACCAGCGTGTGGTTGGGGCAAGAGAGCCACGAGCCACGGAGGCCAGCGAAGGCTTTAGGATCCTGCAGCCAGCCTCGTGGGCCTCGTGCACACTGGCCTCTCGCGACCTCTAACACACTGGCTCTAGCAGATGGAGAAGAAGAAAATGAAAACAAAAGGGGCTGCTGTAGGAAGACGTTCAGGAAGCTGGGGGATTAGATATGCAAATGGACAGTGGCCAGACTGTCCATAAAAACCAGATTCTGCCTCAGCAGCTGCGGCCGCCTGACCAAGACACCAGCCTCCCTCCCACAGTAACCAGCCCAGGAAGCCAGCCCGTGAGCCCGTGGTAAGGCAGGCGATTTCCAGTAACACCCAAGACACCACACAATAACTTCTGTAACCCTGTAGCCTTGTGCCCCAAATGGCCATGACTTGATTAAGAACTATCAGCTTCCCCAATTTTTGATCCCACTTCCAACTCGGGACCAAGGAGAGAAAGCCAAACAACGCACCCCTTAATCAGGGCAAGAGAACACCTCGGTTCCAGAAGCTGGCCGCCTCCAGCTTCCCCCCGGCCACAGCCCCCGTCGGGACACACCTGAAGGCTCCCCCTTTCCCACCAGAAAGCTCTCCGGGGCCTCTGCCTGTGGTGGGGCTTCCCCACCTGCCTGCTTTGCCAGAGCCAACCCCGAACGGTTTCTGTTCTGTCCTTGTCTTCGTCTCCTTCCCCAGAGACAAAGAGCACAGCCAGGAGAAAGCAGATTCGGGATAAGTGAGGACATGGGAGGAACGGGAAGTTGGTTGTGAAGAGAGAAGGGGGTTTCAGACACTCTGGAAGGGACAGGGAGCGGGTCTGTAATGACCCATCGCTTGTTGTGAGTTTCCTGCCGCATTCTTATGGGGTGTGCAACTTACCAATAAAGCCCCATGAGAGATTTCTTTCCATCTACCACTTTTAAGAGAAACAAAACTAAAATAGCCTTTATGACCCATTTAGGGGAGTGGAGGCAGAGGCCAACCAAGGTCCCTCTTTTTCCCATGCCAGATGACGCCCCCAAGAGTTCTCTGCCACTGCCCCTGTGCGCCGTTGCCTCAACTGTCTCCTCGTTGACCATCCTGTGGCTTGTCCTTGTGTGCTGCCGTGCTCTGCAGACAGGCATGGAATGACATAATGAAATGATTACCTTGTCCCTATTTACAGAGTCAGTAAGTGGGATCATGTAGATCTGAATCCAGATCTTTCTGATTTCAAAGTCTATGGTGGGTCTCCGCATCCAGGTTACTTGGAAACGCAGTAGTGAAATGGACATTAAATTACTGACTTGAGGCAGTTAGAACAGTCGGGCCGGTGTTGAGAAGTACATGGAGTTACCAAGCAGGAGGGCAAGGATGGTACTGACGGTCCGGGGTTGTCAGCCAGGGACAAGACAAGGTGGGAAAGAGTCCTGCAATTAGCAGGTGATGTTACCTAAAATATAGTGTGAGTGGACAACGGAGGAAAGTTCCATCAAATTAAAATAGGAACTATCGTGAGCAGAGGGTGGGGTCAGTGGGCTACCGGACTGGAGACTGGGGCTGGACGGGGCGTAAGGAATGGCCATCACCCCACCATTGTCCTGTGTGCTGGAAAGAGGAGACAAAGCAAAAGCTCTTCGGGATGGAGTTAGGGGTAGTAGACGGACAGGGAGTTCCTATGGTGTGGCTGAGAACGCAAGAGGACACACACAGGCCAGAGGGGAGGGGCTGCAAAAGACAGAGAGACTGGAGGGGCTGCAGGTTCTAGAAAACATGGCTGCATGGAGGGGGAACCCGGTAACCAGATACCAGTAACCAGTAACCGGTAACCAGACAGTGACTCCAACTCCCCAGGGGAAAGGCAGTCAGGGAATGGTGGGTAATGGGAAGAACACGTTCCAGATGGAGGAAGAAGCACTGTTGAGTCACTGGGATTCAATGACTGCTCAAGATGGAGAAAGGAGACCCAGATTCCAGCTGTATGAGCTGAAAGTAAACATTGGATTAAATTATAGCTTCTCGCAAGTGAAAAGAGGAATAGTTAGTTCTAAGGCTCCCTCTTTTTTGTTGATGAAACCTTTGAATACCTGTTAATAAGAGTTAAAAGGTCCTGTGGATTTTGTCTTACAGAAGTTGTTACGGTTTGATTTTATAAAGTTGCTATCTGGGGGCTGGGATTTGCCACATCAAGTACTCAGTGGACCTCATCACGGATGAGGTAAGAAGGGGCCGAGCCAATCCACGGAAGAAGGTGAGTGACCGGTGCCCTGTCCACGGATGTTTCCATCTGTCGTGTCTAGGATTCTCAGAAAGTACTGATGCAGGAGTGTCCAGGACGAAGCCGGTGGCAATCTACCATTGTTCGATCGCCTCACTGATCATCCCAACACAGTAATTCGGTCTGGGAAGTAAATATACGCAGGGACCCCTTTCAAACATGTTAGAAGAAATCTAAGACATTTGCTAATTTCTCTCTCGTATGCTTCCTTCTGTGTCTAACACTGTTGTCCGGTGAGTAGCCTATACGTCAATGGTCTTTTCCGGACCTTTTCTGGTGCCACACACTCAGCTCTCAAAGCAAAACGTCTCCAAGATAAAAACCTGCATGCACATTACCACGTTGTTGTTGATCTGAAGCTGGAAAAGAGGGGCACTTAGACTAAACCTTGCCACAGGGAAAAACTACAAGAAAACGCATTGTAAGCTCTAAGTCATAAGAACTCTGGTGGTTGTGTGTCCTGACTTCAGCTCCGCAGGAACATCTATTAAAAATAGACTTCTTATCTATCTGCCCCCTGCCCTGGTGCTTGCCTACCCTTCCCATGACCTGAAAAAATGAAAAATTTTTAAAAAAAGGTAGTTCATGAAAGAGTTAGATAAGGAGATTTATGGGGATAAAACCATGCTGCAGTGACCTAGCCAGTTAGGAATATCCCCCAAGGAAATGTTATTTAAGGTAAAGGAAGAGACCTAATACGTAAATATAATGTAATTATTTCTAGCTTAATAAACCTATGTGCGACATTGAGACAGAGGACGTGCGTGGCTTCTCATAGACATCCTGATTTATCTCATCATGAGATTGGAGTTGGAATTTTTCCTGAGATGTGCGCTTTTTTAACATCCACTTGATGTGATAACTAGCGCCATGTCCTCTGTCCTTCTGGGGCACTCGTTTTTGCCAGGCTCATCATGGAACCAACCAAAACCTCCTCCACAGAGAGGGGTCTCCAGAAATTTCACCCTGTCCACCTGCTCTCTGTACAGGATATGCCCAAGTTGCAAAGAACTCACTGAATGAAATCGGTACTCGTGTTTCGTCCCCGGTCTAAAAGGCAAGAGGCACACCCGTGTACTTAAGATAACGTTCCTCTCTACTGTCCAGCGCTCTCTCTGCTTTTCTGCCCACCCTCTAAAAGAGAAGTTTTGTTTGTTACCTCTTACCGACATTTATTTTGACAATTTTTTTCTGAGAGCCCATCCTCGTCCTCTCCCATGATGTCCACGGCAGAAAATATCAACGCCACGAGAATGGCAAAGCAGCACACCAGGGCGAAGATCACGATACACTTCTGCTGGGACTGTCAAGAAAAAGAAGGAAAAGAGAAGTGAGAAGCAGCTTTCACTTTGGAAACTCGGGATTGGATAGATTTTCAAAACCTCTGAGAAAGGGTCACTTGCATTGCTGCCAGCGAAGGCTGCCCTCGGAGGGAAATCTTGACGCTCGTTCCTCGACACAGCCTTCAACCCCCCACTAAGTATGTCAGAACCTGCCAAATAATTCAAGTGCTGTGTCGAGACTTCTGAACTAGTTCGCTCTCCCTCTTTCTCATCAAAAGCAGTCCGGGCGATCTGGAGATCTTCTACAAGATCTTCTACAAAGCACTGTATGAGGTCCATGAGTGCAAATTAAAAGAGTGGCGCAATAATGATTCTCTGTCCCCTGTTATTGTCACCACCTTTCAAACTCTATGCAAAGTCTGTGCCCTTAAACTCTGCATCCTCTAGCTTCTCCCACCTTGTCTTGCTCTACGGTCTTTTGTATGATGGCTTCAGGAGAGATGCTCCTGGCAGGGGAGGATGAGTTCCCAACTTGGATCAGAAATTAGATCCATCAGATGCCGGCATCTTGGGTCATGGAACTGACATGGCTCATTTTGAAACACTGAACACAGTCATAACCAACATTCATACTTTTGATACGATTTTCACTTAGAAACAGAAGCTGAGGGCACTTGGGTGGCTCAGTGGGTTAAGCCTCTGCCTTCAGCTCAGGTCATGATCCCAGGTCCTGGGATCGAGCCCCACATCAGGCTCTCTGCTCAGGGGGGAGCCTGCTCCCCCACCCTGCCTGCCTCTCTGCCTACTTGTGATCTCTCTCTCTGTGTCAAATAAATAAATAAAATCTTAAAAAAAAACTAGATGGCTCAAAGAAGAGAAAGAACAAACTTCAATTTTACTTTTAATTTTTAAAAGTGTTGTGACCATTGACCAGACAGCCAGGAGAAATTCCCTTAGTGATGAGACACACACGTGTGTACACACATACGCCCGTGCGCACGCGCACACACGCACACATACACTAGCTTTGTTGAAACCAGCTGGCTTTGCTTCTCCCGCCACCCCCCTGCCCTTTATCCCCGCAGCTGCATGATCTCCAAAGAATGGAGGAACCTCCCCAAGCTCAGGGTCCAGTTTGTCCAGGGACAGGCTCGGATGACAGATTCTAGAGAAAGAATGACGCCCCGTGACCAGACGCTGTCTGCTCAGATGCGTGGTTCCTTCTGGAGGCTTTGTCTTCTGACTTCCCTCCGCAGTCCCCTCCCCAGAGAAGCTCCTTCCGAGTCCCTTCCTGCCCCTCACTGCCGGCTTCGCTTATTTCTCACTTGGGGAGGAAGTGGGGGGAAGCCCAAGCGAGACACAACCGCTGTTCATTGCCCCAAGGCGCCCGGGACCTTTAAGACATGCCCACGTTTTACTCCTCCCATCCCGAGCAACCAGCACGGCCCAACAGAAGGTGCCCAAGAAATAACGACCGCGTAAACAAAGCGAATGAATGAAAGGAACGTCCCGAGGGCACACTTCTGAGCAGGCGGGGTGACACGAAAGTGCTTGGAGAATCAGATGCGGCCTTCCAGAGCATTCGCTTGCCTCCGCCATTTCCGTGACTGTGAATCCTGCAGCCTCTCCTTGTTCCTGCTCTACCTGAGCCCCAGGAGAAACCAGCGCTGAGTTTACCGACTCCATCCAACTCCACAGAACAGTCTGTGCATTCTCCCTGCCCCTTTATTTTCCATCTTCCTCATTAATTTTATTTTTCAGAAGCAGAAGAGCGAACTGGTTGAGGGCACAGACTTTGGGGGCCAGACCGCTTGGATTCCTCCCCTAACTATGCCCTCGGGCAAGTTATTTAGTCTTTGTGCTTCAGATCCCTTGTCTGTCAGATGGAGAGGACAATCATGAAATAATAATAATGATGACAGCCTCAGAGGGTTATGGCTGATGATTAAGTTACACGAGATACTGTATGTGCAGTTCTTAGAACAGTATCTGAACAGACAGTACGGGATGGGTGTTTGCTGTTGTGGTATATGTGCCCTCTGGAAGCTGCCTCAAATATTTGGGAGAAACAAGGTAAAGATATGAGAAAATAAAAAACATACAGGGACATCAGGGTGGCTCAGTGGGTTAAGCATCTGACTCCTGATTTCGGCTCAGGTCCTGATCTCAGTGTTGTGAGATGGAGACACGAGTCAGGCTCTGCGCTGGGCGTAGGGTCTTCTTGAGAATCCCCATGCTTCTCTCCCTCTCGCTCTCTGCCCCTCCCCCACCTCTCCTTCTCCCGCTCTTAAAAAAAAAAAAAAAAGAATAAAAGAAAAACAGACAACAAAAACTATACATGTAAGAGAGAAGCAGAGTGATAGAGAGACAGAGACAGAGAAAGAGAGGGAGATATAAGAAAGAGAGAAGGGAAATGTGAGACCAACGTTGTCTAGGATAAAATTTTTTTAAGATTTTATTTATTTAGAGAGAGAGAGAGAGAGTTGGGGGAGGGGCGGAGGGAGAGAGAACATCCCAAGCAGACCCAGCACTGAGCGTGGAGCCCAGCACAGGGCTCGATCGCAGGACCCTGAGACTATGACCCAAGCAGAAATCAAGAATCAGATGCTTGACCACCTGAGCCATCCAGGTGCCCCTGAAATCCTGCTTAATACATGTTGACCTTCAAACATACCTCCTTTAGTTCATTTTTTTTTAAGATTTATTTATTTATTTGAGAGAGACAGAGTACACAAGCAGGGGTGGGGGGGTGTGAAGCAGGAGAGGGAGAGAGAATCTGGAGCAGACTCACCACTGAGCAAAGAGCCCAACGAGGGGCTCCATCCCAGGACCCTGAGATCATGACCTGAACTGAAATCAAGATGAGATGCTCAACCGACCAAACCACCCAGGCACCCCTCCCTTAGTTCCAATAAAGGGAGCGTGATAAATACATCCAGTGTGGGGGCTCAGAAGGAAATTATTTTAAATATTTTTTAAATTTTGAATGAGTTTCCTCTTGCCCTTTACTTTTTATTTATTTTACTAATATTCATTGCTTATATAATCAGAAACTGTTTGCTATTAACTACTTAAAAAAAAAAAAACCTACATAATACAAAAAAAGGAAATAAATCACTCCTGGTCCCACGCAGACCAAACCACCATTAGTATTTTGTTCTCGTTCTTTCCTATGTACTGTGTCTACAGATCTAACAATCTAAAGATGTTGGTGTCACGCTATATATAATTTTGCATTCCGCTTTTTGCACTTGATTGTGCTTTAAGGTCATTAAATATTCTTCTAAAGCAGAGTTTCACATTGTTGCATCACATTCCATTGTGTGGCTATGTCGCCGTCTCCTTTATTCCAATAACTTTTTTTAAAAAGCCACTCGTTTAACAACACCAAAAATAATTAAACATTTTTATCATTTTACCTTATGTCCCTATATGTTATAAACAGAAATGAACAAAAAGCTTTTAGAGGGATTTAAAACAATGCAATCGTAACACATTAATCTAGTCCAGAAGAGACTTTAACCTACGGTGATATGATTAAACATTATCTCAGAAAGAATCCTGAAGAGAGCAGCATAAATATATCGTGTCAGGTACATTAGTGGGTACTTAATGAAAAAATCCTAATGAATACTAAATACTTCATCCACAACAATATTGATCTGTTTTCCTTTATTCTGAATTTTACGATGAAACAGTAAGAGCGCTAGTTAATTTGTGTGCTACTGGAAGTACTTTGCTATAGTAACCCTCACAAATTTCTATTAACATCTATTCATTTAATTCTATATTATCTTATTCTATTAATATGAACTGACCTAGTTATTTTCATTTTAATTCATCAAAGAAGAGAAATGCAGACTCTGATATTCATTTTTAAATGTCTCCTTGAAAGAATGTACTAGAAAATTACAAGGTCAGACCACTACTTTCCTTTCTTTTCCACCTCATCAAAAATGAATGAATCTGTTCAAAGGACAGCCTAAGAGCCTCACAAATGAGACCAAATTCCAGGTTACCAAGACACTTATTCATTTTCAAGTCCTTAACAGATCATTTCAGATCATTCAGGAATCAATTTGAAACATACTCTTCTGTTTTTATTGAGTAGAATCAAACTATGGAAAGTTTTAAGGAGAACCCATTAACATGATTACAACCTCAATTCCACTAATGAGCTCAACCAATTAAAAGAAAACAAAACTTGGAATGCTATTATCCAGCATCAGTCTGTACTTTTCATAGGAGTGTGTACTGAAACAGTTTTGAAAAGAACTGCTTGCTTGGTCAAGAAATAAATCCAATTATGCTAATGCCAAAAATATTTAAATACCATATCCTTATCAAATAAATTTCACCTTAATACAGAAAAAGAGGTATATGACCTCTAAATGGTAAAGAGTATTAAATTTGAAACTTGGAAGTACTATCTATTCCAACTTGAGCTTTTATACCATTTGATATACTCTTAAAGGGAATTTACACCTATGTGCCTAGGGGTAAAATATACATTTGCAAAGATTAACCATAAATTAAAATTATTCATATTATTTACCATGACAATATTTTTAAACAAAATCAAGGCAAAGTCTTAAAAATAACCATTTTTATGTGTGCAGCCTTTTTTTAAGATTTATTTATTTGACAGAGAGAGATCACAAGTAGGCAGAGAGGCAGGCAGAGAGAGGGGGAAGCAGGCTCCCTGCTGAGCAGAGAGCCCGATGCGGGGCTCGATCCCAGGACCTTGAGATCATGACCTGAGCTGAAGGCAGAGGCTTAACCCACTGAGCCACCCAGGCACCCCTGTGTGCAGCTTTTAATACCTACAGAGCTGGAAGTTCTAGTATGGTTATTCTTCATGTGAAAGATGTCAAAATTAGGACCCAAAGACATTGGGTTACTGTCCAATGTGACCCAAACAGTTGGAGACAGCCCAGGGATTTAACTTAGGTCTCTGAATCTGAAATCTCTAGACCTAGTCTATAGATCCAAACTTTTTCCTTTTCTGGTTTTCTTTGAC